CTCCCCGCAATGTGCAGGCGTTCTGTGGCGCTGTGAGCGCACGGAGGTTTTTCCCTCTGCGGGATTTGCCCCGCAGCTGCGGTGCGGACACCCAAAAKCTCGGTGCTCAATGCTCCGTGACTCAGAGCGCGTTGTGTTGGTGGTCGGTGTGGTCAGCACGCACCGCTCTCAGAAACCTGCGTAATCCACACGAGTGATTTAATGTTCATAGCAGTGATCGTTCCTCGGGGACTCGAAACGCAATTAGCCTTGTGCTAAGCAAAGACTTTTGCCTCGCGACAGTGAACCTTTGCAGAACGCCGAGCATGTACAACAGTCTGGTTCTTTGTCCAAACGTGTGAATTAATACCCACCCCCCTGCTGAATTTGCCTGTGTGAAATCCCATGAGACAGAGAACTGGAATTTAACCTCACTCACCCATCGTTTCCACAGCTGAATTTAATTTAAATATGATGTAAATAGAGGCAAAGTAACAGTCTCCTTAAAACAGTTTTTCCAGGAACATTCATTGCTTGTGAGTGTGAAGAAGGCATTAGGCTTAGCAGCCCCTTGCTCCTCATGTGCACATGGCACAGGATTTCCGAGCAGCACATTGCTGTGGACAAGGATGACAACTTGGCACAGTACAGCCCCTCATTCTGTATCTATCATTTCATCTTTCTGTGATGCATGGCCTTGCTTTTCAATTAAATCTGTGTTGCACAATTGTACTCGCATTATTTGGCTTTTTTTGGTCATTGCAGACAGACCAGATGTTGATGAAATAGTAAAAAATGGCAACTTCATTAATAATCCACTTTTTAATATTATTTTGTTTGAGTATTTGTGACTAKTAGCAACACTGAACTAGCAGCAATCTTCCTAGATGAGTCCTTATTGTAGGTATGATAAGAATTCTTTAAGTGAGCCCATTTGGGGCATTTTGTGTATGTACATTATATTGTTGTAATTTTTATTTTCTTTCTTTAATGCCTTCAACAACCATTGAATGATGCCCTCCTTGCAGACCGAATAGTTTAATACTGAGCTCTCTGCCTTTCTCACGGAGATTAAGATAAGGACAGTCCAGTTCTTTTCTTGTGTCACTGTATCTGGGATCAAGTGCTTCCTAATAACTTAATCCAGAGTTCGGCAGAATGCTGCTGTTGCTGAAGGTGAAATCTGCAGTTGTAGGAACACAGTTCTTAGTAAAGTGAACCTTTAGAAAAGAAGTGGTTGAGGTGTACCTAAAATTGTATTGCTTTTCCATTGGCTGCTTCTTTTCCCCCCCAAACCAGCTCCTATTAAAATACAGTTGTTGACCTGTATCCCTAACAATAAGCAATTTTATTAGTTAAACTGTAGTCAAATTGGAAAGGAGGTGGTCCTGAAAGGATAGTTGACACTCACTGCAGATGGTGCAGTCAGTGCTGTGCTGGAAGCAGTTTAATTCTGTGTATCATGAGAGTTTGAGCTGGAAGGCAGGATATGTTGTAATGCTGCATGTTTTCACTTGCAGCTCTTCCACATGTGGGGCTGGGGTGAGGCTGAAGGCTTAGCGTGCTCYCTGTGTGTTCTGTGTGCCTTCTCGAGCTCGTAGAGGTTTCTGTGCTGCCTTTGAGTGTGTGGCTGCAGCTGTAGTTGCTGTAGCAAAGCACTCAGAGCCTTGCTCTCTACATGTATCATCATGCGTTTTCTGCTCAGTGTGCTAATACTAACAAATGCTATTACTTGGCTTCAATACCCTTGTCCCAGTTGGAATTGGGTGTGTATGTTTGTGTTGAGTGCACCAGTGAGTTAATTCACTCTTAGTGACCAAACTGAAATACGAACAAAAGATGTCTTGGACCAAAAGCAAAATCGGATCAACAGCCTTCTGTGAATCCTTAGCGTRCTCTGCATCCACCCCTTGACAAGCTGTGTTCAGGCCAGAGAAAACCAAGGCCAGAAAAAACCCAAGGATGTGAGTGGTCAAGAGTGAGTTGTATTGGCAGAGCTGTATTAGGRAGATTAGCCACCATCTGTTCACCCAAATCCTGCACCTGGCTCTAGACTGTGCCACTGTTCATCAAGCAGTGATCTTACTCAAAATATTAAAGAACTGCGGGGTTAAATAACAAGGCTCTACAGTTCTCCCAAATGTTCTGGTTTCCTTTCAGTTTTGTCATAGTCCCCGTGMAATAATTGCCTGTGGTGCTATGAGATGTTCGTATTATATACATGATCTAATACAAAATTAAAGAGAGCACATAGGGCATGACTTAGCAATACTGCTTTTCTTCTAGTCTTTGCACTTCTCTTCCTGGCTTGTTACTTATTTTTGTGTTAAGCAGCATATAGTTGTACCATGGTTGACAATATGTTATGTTTTCTTAGAAAGAGAACACTTGGAATATATATTTCTATGAGTCATTCTTGATAGTTGTAGTCACAATGAAGTATTTCTGGTTGCTCTGATTCCTCCTGAGCACAGAGCTGCTCCTGTTCCTTGCCCTTCTTGTGGAGGTGGAGCAGTCAGTGGCACTGACCCAGTGATGGGTGATATTCGCCTGCATCCGTATGAAATCCCACTTGGAAAAAGGGACTTGAGGAGGAGAGGAGGTGCAACAGTTGGCACTGAGCRTTGTTCTSCTTCAGAAGCTCTGGACACTGAYTGAGGGGTGTGATGGGGTGAGGAACTGTTTGTCTCCAGCCCTGTGGTGATGTTGCAGGCATGAAAATGCAATCTCATACTGCAGAAGCTTTGAAAGAATAAAAAATTCTTTGGACACTTGTCCAACTGTGAGCTGGATTAATGACAGGGAGAGTTTAGACAGACAAGTACTTTGGGTACATTTAGTGGGAAAAGAGATGTTTTCTTTTGTGTGTGTACAGGTGGTCCTTTTGAAGCAAACCAAAATAAGCTTCYTCACCTGGGTAACGGCCTGAACAGGTTGGCAGTTTCTTTACACACATTTTCAGTTTGCCAATGCACAGCCTTTCAAATATTTTTTTCTTTGCTAGTTTTTTCTTTGGCCATCAAGTTAGGCTGGGACCTAATTTTTTTTTTTTTAACCCTAGGCCATTTTAAAGTAGCAAAGTATTAATAGTGAAATATTGGTTTGGAAGAACACTAATGCACAGGGGATTCTAGAGCAAAGGAGGCAATGCTGTCAATGGTTCAGATTGTTCTTAATTACAATAATGGCATTATAGGAGCTGCAGTTGCTGTTGGGCACAAAAGAAGATAATGATAATGTCAGAGTGCTCAGAGTAAATGCAGTATAATGTATTGCAGTGCTGAATTCAAAAGATGATATATGCCAAACTTGTCGTCAGAGTGCATGAAGAAGAAGAATGGTAAAAGGTCAGAACACTTTTTGTTGTAACTCTGYAGTTCACGGGTTTGGATTTTGTGGTTTGTTTGGGCTTTTTTGTGGCCTATGCTTTCAGGCTTAAGAAGAAATGTTAGGTCTCATGTGTTTAAA